CATCACTGAATCCTTGCTGCTGCTGGCGGTGGGCCCGGGGCCTGTTGCTGCCGGCGGCGATGGTACGTCTTCCCGAGGAAGGCGTCCATAACAATAACCTCTCCAGCCTCATTTCTCAAAACACCTCCCTACCCAAAGAGCTCTGGGTTGCCCATTTGCCTTGGCTACTCCATTCAAAATTCAGCTTCAAAAAAACCTTGAGGGGGGAGGGGGGGCGCAGTTTGTAGAAGCCCTTTCCTTTGAGGATGAACAGCTTGCTACTGCTAACCAGTTCCTCCATAAATCATTAAAGAGATTTGGTGAAACAGTTCTGTAGAGAACACTGATGTGGGCCCCACAGCAGTGGTCCCCACTATGTTCGTAGGACAGCATGTGTAGTTATTTGTTTCAGTTATAGTAGTGTCAGTTTGAGTCGGTTTGTTAATTCAGTTGTTATTTATTTCAGTTTTTATTTACTTTATTTATCATGTAAGTACTAAGGGCAGATCTGTCCTTTCCATTATGTACTGAACATARCCTATAAATAATAAGAGAGTGGCGGCGGCAGATCAGTTAGAATCTGTCCCTCCTTTCAACCCCTTGTGTTCTCCTGTTTCTCTTCTATTCCTTCTCCTTTCTCTCACTTTTCTTCTGTTTTGTAAATCAAAAACCTATTAGGATTCAAGACTGATTACAGTCTTGATCTTCTACTAGTTCCATAGTCTTTAACCAGTGTATTGCCCTATTCATAATGCAGTCTTTCAAGGCCAGGCTGCTCCTCTCCTTCTCTTGGAAGATCCTAGCATTCCTTTCTTTCCAAACTGTCTAGATCAAAGCTGCTCTCGCACACCTCCACATGCTTCTTCCCTTTTTATGGGGCCAAGAGAGAGTAGAAGGGTTAAACAAGATGCTTACTTCTGCTGGCATCACCCACCTGCATCCAAACAAGGAGAAAAGCCAAACCCAAAGCTCTGCAGTGACATTACAAGATTGCAGATCTCATGGTGAGGACTGTTATTCTCCATGTCACCTTACCCAATGATTTTCATTCTTATTTTGTTTACTTTAAAACATGTTAAGAGGAAGACAATCATTATAATTACAATTGCAACAGAAGAGTGTGAGCAAATTACTAGTCATCCAATCAGATAAATTCTCAGCTTAAGAGATACTAGGTGGTGTACCTGTTCACATGTTGCTTTAATCTGTCCCACGTGTACTAGTGTACTAGAATGACTGGTGGTGGTTCTTTTCTTATCTTATTAAGGAAAAAGGGAAAAAGATTACAAAAAGGAAACCCCTATCCCCTTTTCTTATCAAGAATTCCTTCCACTGATATCTCAACCAACCCACAAAATTCTCCAAAGAAAAAATAATAATAATACTGATATACCATTTGTAATTACCACATTCACTACCATAAAGAACAAATTCTCTTTACCACTGCTTCTACAAGACTCACTTCAATCAATGAAAAGCCATGACCACCTCACTTTCCAGACACATCTTCCATCAGGCTCTCTCAGTTCACCACCTTATATCATTAACAATTCCACTTAAAATTCTGCTATTCCTTCTATCCTTCTCAGAAAACTATGCTGCAAACAAATGCAGCCTAAAGCTCATCTCTTTGCATCTCCACTTTGGTGGTTGTTCTTAGGTCCTAACTGGTAGCTGTCTTAGATTTCCCTAATTTAATAAAACCCAACTAAAAATTCTAATTTCTTGGTAAAGGAAATTATGAAGTATATTTAATTTCAAAATGAGCACACTTTTGTGCATACCTTCAGATAACGAAGTTGCCCTTTTATACGTGATAATAAAGACAAGGACATGAACTTTTCATTAGAAAATTCCACATTGGCTGCAACTAGTTCTTCTGAACTTAAAGCATCAAGAGCAGATGCATCATTCTCAGTTTCTCTCAGGCGCAATCGAGAAGTTGCCATCTTAATCTCGTCATGAGCACGCAGTAGTTGGGCCTGAACAGTTGCCAAGGACCTTGCCTGGGTATATTCCTTCCGCATTGCCTGAACCAAAAGAAGCACAAGATGAAATTCCCATGAAGTGGCTTCTCTTGCATCAACCCAGAAATAAGATAAGATTAACAAAGAAATTGTCTAGATGGATTAGTTGTACCATATGAGAAAAAGACATGAATGAAATTGTCTAGATTCCACCAAAAAGAGTTGAAATAGATGATGCAGAAAATGAATAAGTGAATGAGGGTGAGTTGACTGCCTTGATTATCTTCTTCATACAGCTAAGTGGTTCTCTCAACTTTATATACATCAAACAACTAGTTAGAAAGCCAATCATTCAATAACAAGAAATACTGATGACATTATTAGAGGATGTCAATGCATTGCAGCTTCATCTTTAACAAGAAATACTGTACCTATCAATTGGTCACCCACTCTCTAATTTTATTAAACTGAATTTTGATGGTTACAGTATTGGCAATCTAAGAAATTTAGGTATCAGGGAAGTTGATGTACGACAGGGTAGGGGTCATACAGATTTCAGATCTAGTGGTGGGCTTTGTAGGGTGAAGGAAGGGTGATGTGTTATTAGGGATGGAGAAATCAGATGGAAAAGAAAGTAGACAACTTGCTGTCCAGCAAAGAATAAGCAAGAACTTGGAAAGACAGAGAACTCTTGCTGCTGGGTAAAGAGCAAAGACACAGATCTCAAACAAGAAGAAATAGGTGATAGAGGAAACAAAAAGATAAAAATTCCTAGCAACAACCAGAATTCACTAAACCAAACCTCATTTCTTCAAATCAACTCTTCTTAAATTGCAATGACAATGACTATTTATATACTCAACTTATGGACTCCAATGTCCCTTTACAGACTCCAATTTGGACAAGAAAACTGACCCAAAAGATCTCCTAGTTGTTTTAAAACTAAGACACATCCATAGGGACACTCCAATAAGGAACCTAATTCCTAAAATAACTAATAACTCGTTACTTATCCTAGTAAGATTTACTTATATTAGGACACCTGAAATTACTAAAAATAGTAAACCATGAGTTTACTAAAAAATAATTATAGAATAACTAGAATACCAAATCCAGAAGTTACCATAAATAGTAATTTCAAAATAGAATTAAAATTCACAAAAATACAACCCTATTCTTAAGACACCAACTAGAAAATAAATAAAAACTGAAACAATACCAATATCCTATCATCCAAAAATTCTAATATCAGTTTAGGAATTAGAAATTGGTTTGTTTCCCCTAGAATTATTTCCTTGCTTCCACATTGGCATTATGAGTTTCTAAAGATAATCTTGAGAATATTAGTGACCATCATTCTCAATCTATTGGTTATGGTTATTCAACAAGAGCAAAAACTATTAGTGGTACCACCCAAAATTAGAGCTTTTTGTTGAGAGGTTGTTCATTCTAGAAATGAACAACACATGGAAGGACGAGGTGGTGGAGGCTGTAGAGGAACTCATTGGTAGATTCTCGATTTCATTGAAGTTTAAAAACACAAGAGATGGATTTACTTGGGTTCTCACCAATGTCTGGTCCAAATAGATATCGAGAAAGGAATGAAATGTGGGAGGAGCTGTTTGGTGTTAGGGGCTTATGGGAAGGACCGTGGTGTGTGATAGGGGATTTCAATGTGATAAGGTTCTCAAGTGAGTTTAGTAATCCAAACCAGCAGGTGGCCTCCAGTATGAGGAAGTTCAATAATTTCATAGACTCTTGTGAATTGAAGGAACTCCTTCTTGTAATCTGAAGTGCTATACTCGAAGTAGCAAGGAAGAAAAGAGAATGACAGAAAAGAAGAGAATGTCGAACTGTACTAGCCAGTCGACCAGTTCTTTATTTATAGATGAATATAGTACAAGGTACAAGAAATTACTGGGATGCCCCTGATTAGTGATGGGACACCCAGATGACTTAAATCATTAAACA